CCAATATAATCATTAGGTTTTAGCCAGGTTTCAGTCAAGCAGAGTACATCAAAACGATTATCTGTGATCATTTCATTTACAATAACTGCTTTGGGTGAGAGTGATCTAATGTTTAGGAGCCCAAACTTTAAAAATGGTTTTTGTTCATTTATTTTAAATTGTTCTGGTTTAATCACGATCAGATTTTTTCTAGATCCTGCATTAAATTTATATTTTGACCTCACTATTCGGGGAACAGACACAGTCTTTATAGATTGGACAGCGCAAGTACTTCTATCATTTAAGCGGGTAGAACACAAGTCCTCAGGGCAGTTATTTGAGATTTGACTTACTAGTCACATGGAGCGCAGCGTCCTGGAGATGTTGTCCGACATGAGCTCCGCCCCGACTCTGCTGGGATGCAGACCATCAGCGCGAAACAGCCTAGGACGCTCCCAGAAAAGATTCCAGTTATTAACAAAGAGCAGTTTCTGTTCTTTACACCATGACAATAACCATTCATTTAAAGCAAAAAGCCTACTGAACTTTTCATGTCCTTGTCGATACGTGGGAAGCGGTCCTGACACGATGATCGTCGTCGCGGGCGATGTGCGGCGCACCGTCTCGATCAGGCTCCTGAAGTCCCTCTTCAGCGTCTCCGTCTGCCGCAGCTTGGTGTCGTTAGCCCCCGCGTGAAGCACGACCGCTCCGGGGCTCTCGTCACCCTTCAGGATAGCGGGTATCTGCGCAGAAACATCGAGAACACGAGCACCAGGGAAACAGTGAGTGTGCACCTTACCTTCAGCTAACGTAGCACGGACGTGCCGGACGATGGAGTCTCCGATGATCACAGCGTCGCGTTCCGTCTCGCGGAGGGGAGCGAAGCAGTTCTGGGTGGAGATCTCGAAGACCGGAGGCGGCGGAGGGGGAGAGGTCGTCGCCCGGGACCTGGCTCGTGTCTTCCGCTGCGGCTGCACCCAGGGTCCGTGGTGTCCCGGCGCTGGAGTGAAGGACATCTGGGAAGATCGCGTCCTGGGTGCACCGGGCCTGTGCAGAGAAACACACGGAGTAGAGGTGGTGGGAGAGTTAGCAGCGCGCTGTATACTTACCTCGGACTTGTGAGCGTCAGCCTGGGATGTTTCCAGCGCGGCTCTCCGCGCTCTCAGCTGGGTCTGCTTTGCCACCAGGTCCCGGATCTGCTTCTCCACGGCCTCCAGCTCGACCTGCACCGAATGCAGCTCGAACGTGTCCTCACCTGCACTCAAAGGTAGACACACATCCGCCATTAAAGCAAGTAACAGTGAGTAAAACAATGGTAATGTGTGTGAATAGAGTATTAGTGTAAGCGAGATTAGCGGCAACCATGCTGGCGATGCTAGCGGGCTATATGCTAATAGCGGACTCGGAAGTCAAAAATAGAACTAGTGCTAACAAAGCGCTCTGATTGTTTTTGTTGTAGAATATGATAGGAGATATATTCGCACGTTATAGAACTGAAAAAGGATGGTGTATAAAATTGATTTTAAGATAAAAAATGGGACGACAAAGAATTAACTTGACGGAGCTCAAACTCAAACCACACGGCAGCAACAAACAGGAAGTGACATCTATACAAATAAAAGAAAGGTTTGAAATGACATGAGAGTGAGTAAATGATGACAATTTTTGGGGTGAACTATCCCTTTAATGTTTTTATCATTATTGTTATTGTTATTATTATTATTAATTAAATGATACTCTAAATAAGAAACTAAATCTGCAAGGAGGTGGTGGTAAATGTCTTCAGTCGATTCGTTCAAACGGTTGATTCATTCAGGAATGAAGTAAACGGCTCTCTCGATGAATGGGTCTTTGAATCATTGGTTCACACGATTCGTTCAAACAGCTGATTCATTCAGAAACTAAACACGCTGTGCTGCTCGGAGACACGCAACAGTTCTGCTGTGACTTTAAAGGTAATATATTCTTTGCAAAATTGAGCAAAAACACATAATATTGTGTTTAAAATATAACACGATATCAACTTCTTACTGAACTGTTGTATAAAATCGCATTTAAACTTGTGATATTCGGGTCAAAAACAGCACTCGTGTAATAGCCTACTGCTCTCCCTGCTTGTGTGATATCGATATTGTATGATATAAATTAGACAAAAACACATATAGGGGCATTTTTTGCACCAATATCTTGAATTTTAGGGCATAACTGCATTTATGGAGTTGTTGCCCTGCATTATTTGTCAACAGTCAACTGTATGAAATGTAAGATGATGTACAGGTCTGGGGGCGGGGCCAGTGCGTTAACTGCGTTAAAATATTTTAATTGCATTATTTTTTTGTAACTAATTATGTAAGTTAACACGTTAAACTGACAGCCCTAGTTTAAATATATCATTACATATTGGTATTTTTCTAAATTTGCACACTTTTGGACTAAAAGCCCTAATGGATGCTGTTTAGTGAAGATCTGGGAATGCAAGTAAACCGGAGCAGACATAACTGAATATGAATGTGTGGTTATTCTGTTCAAAATATCAAATATCATCAATGGATGCTTTTGTACGGAGTGAATGTTGACAATAATAATCTGAGGCTGTTGATGATCTTTGCAGGTTAATTAGAACTGAAATTAAGACTTTACATTATCATTCAAGCATAGGCGGAAATCACGGGGGGTCAGGGGGGGACAGGACTGATCTGATCTGATCTAAGAACCCCATCTGAGGGTTGTCCCCCAAAAAATATGATTAAAAACCACGCTGTGTAAATAACAATGTTTTATACTTTAAACAACTTTGTAAGTAAAACAATGCAAATGGGGCAAAAATGCGTTTTAAGTTTAGAAATATTTTGAGTCTCCCCTCCCTTGCCTCGCAGTGCTTTGGTCCAAATGCCTGCTTTCCTCTTTTACATCACCTTTTGCCAATTGGGCTACTTTAACACTGTTGCCGCGGTTTGTTTTTCATGTCCGCGGGTTGAAGTGACCCCAATAATGTGATATGTATCCCCTGGAATGCAAATTTTTGCGGAGGAACCCTGCCAAAAAACGTGTATTTTATCCCCCGGAGCGTAGTTTTGGGCTAGTTTTGAGTAGCAGTTGGGCAGGTTTTGTTGCAAAAACCTGGCAACCCTGCATCACCTACACGCACACACACACACACACACACACACACACACACACACACACACACACACACACACACACACACTCACTCACACACACACACAAGTCTGGTGAGAGAGAACAAAGTCAATAGTTTCATTCACTTAAACATCAGATGAAGTGATTATTTTCTCTTTAATACAGGTGAGAAAGAACAAAGTCAATAGTTTCATTCACTTAAACATCAGATGAAGTGATTATTTTCTCTTTAATACAGATGATGCCAATGTATTTTTCGATGAGTCCACTATGATTGTAATAATAACGTTACCTGCTTGACGGATAGAAATGTCTACAACGGACACGAGCGCTGTCGCTGCGCGACCACAACAGCTTGAAGTTGTCTGTTGTCTAATTTGGCACGGTCTCCCTGCTGCACTAATAGTAGTGAGGCTTTCCACTGTGTATATTTGTCCTTACAAGTACAATTTTAGCTGTATTATTTGTGTCCCCTTCAAAAATTGCTCTTGAGAAATGTTATGTTTATTGTCCCCCCTACAGTTAGACAAAATTTACGCCCCTGCATTCAAGCATGGTGAATGAACACTGGGATATCAAGTGAAGTAAAATGTTTGTGGATCTGTGACCTATAACACATTATGAGGACATTGATTGGCTTCTTTTCTGTTTGAAGTCATTCATCATGAGTCTAGCGCTCTCAGCAGGTTATGATTGGTTGAATGGTAAGCTCACATCTAATTTGCTTAAGAGTACGATGGACCCACACGGGAGTAGAGAGCTCAAAGAAGACTTCAGGAAAGTCTCAAAACACACACACACACACTCAAAGCAATTCACACACAAACAACTTAACAGTACTATTAATACTGTAGTCCTCTGATTTCATTTTTATATAAACTGACAACTGAGATGCAAAATAGCATATGATGCATTTGTATAAAACAAGACAATAGTAGACTGTATTTTCTGTATAATCGTATTGATGAAGGAAAGGATCAGTGAAGGGAAAGAAATGGGGTAGAAGGAAGAGGTGTGAAGGAAGGGACAGGATAGAAATATGTTTTCCTGCAGATTCCTCCCGTTTCTCAGAAGATTAAAGTAGCCTGTCTGAGGTTCTCCCAGCCTTACAGTGGTGTGTTCTATAGCGTTGCTATTGACAACGGTCATTATCAGGAAATAGCAATGTTGTGACTGACCAATCAGAATCCAGTATTCCTGAGAGCTGTGTAATAAATGATTTTAATATATGATGTGGAGGCAAAGAACCAGTCAAGGTGAAGAGAGATATTGTGCGTGTGTGAATTACCTGCATCTGTGCAGCTTCTCTCGACTAATAGTGAAGATTTGAATATAATTGCACCAGAAAACATAATTTACATTTACATTTATTCATTTGGCAGATGCCTTTGTTCATGTATGTGTGTATATATATATACTGTATACTACCAGTCAAAAGTTGTTGAACAGTAAGATTTTTAATGTTATTTAAAGAAGTTTTTTCTGCTCACCAAGCCTGCATTTATTGATGAAAAAACAACCCAGCGTTAAAAATGACCCAGCAACTTAGTTACAGAAAAACTACCTAGCACCTGAGTAAAAATATTATAAATAACCCAATAAAATGACACAACAAGCTGTACCCAGCATATTTTAGAGTGTTGTGTTTGAAAATGTTTAACTGTATCAAAGGGCAACACAATAAAAATAATAATGTCTAAAAACACAGATTACATTCTGACATTGATATTGAAATTAATCTCCTCAAGCACCCCACAGAAGTGATTGTGAACCTGAGACTGGATCTGTTAACCAGTTTATCTTTCTGATTGTGAAGTTTCTGTTTATCTGAGCTGTAGATCCTGAACTGAGAGACTGAAGAGTGTCATTGTTCTCTACAGGTTGAGGGGTTGTGGAGTCACAGATGAAGGTTGTGCTGCTCTGGCTTCAGCTCTGAGATCAAACCCCTCACACCTGAGAGATCTGAGTCTGTCATTTAATAAACTAGGAGCGTCAGGTGTGAAGCTGCTCTCTGATCTACTGAAGGATCCTCACTGTAAACTGGAGAAATTCTGGTAAGATTATATAAATCTGTCAGCATCCTCCTAAATTTAGCTCCTTTGTTGATTATGAACAAAATGAAAATCAAAACTGTCATAAAGAAAGTGTCCTGTCACAGTTAATTGAAAGGATGCTGTTTTAATCTTCATTACATTCTTTCCAAAGTTTTTGACACAATTGTAAAATACTATAAGATATTATAGGTTGAGTGGATGATCTAAAAACAGCTGCTTTATATCATACAGATGTGTGTTGATGATTTGGGGTATTTACAAAAGAATTAAGCAGTTTTGACATGCTCTATGATATTAAAATTAACCTCCTCAAAACACATGTAGAAGCAGGTCTGAACTGAGAGATGTTGCTGTGTTTGGCTGAGCACTCATTGAGTAGCTCGCCAGTGTGTTAGATTTCTCCATTACATAAAATAAATACGTTTGACCAAAGTTTTGTTGGCAAAATAATTTATTGGTTAATTTAAGGTAGGATTGTAGCACAGTTGTTCAGTGGTGATGTTAGCTTTCAGTCTTCAAAGAATCTTAAATCCTTCTTAAACTTGGTTTATTCATCTGTAAATTGGTTTGGTCTCGTGCGACAAAAATGTGATCCAGGTGCCAGCAGAAGTGCAAATTGACATTGCTAGACTGCTTTTCTCATGTACATCACATTTTTTATAATTTGAGCGAACAGCGAATATTGTAGGCTATATGGATTCATGTACATTCACTTCACTATTTCAGATGTTTATGAGACTAACTTTCATTTCAAGAGTTTTGTTTTGTAAATTATGAATGAAAATATTTTAAATATACTGCATACATATTATACAAGTACATATACTGTAAGTAGTAAAAAAAAATTGAAAAAAAGAGAAAATAAAAATCCATGAATTTCAGATCCCTTATGTAGTATTTCTATAATAAATATGTACAGATGGTCAGTGAATTAAACAGAAATAAATATTATATTTTTGTATTTAATATACAACAATTATGTTACTTAAGGTTATATTCGTTAAATTTTAAGATGTTGATTAAATATTATTGAATGGTCATACTCTGTTGTTTGTTGGGTGAACACGCAAACTAAACAAATGTAAAGAAAGACTGTATATTTCTTAAATTTTGAAATAGTGAGATGTAATAAGAGCTGCATACTTCTTACTGTAGTCTTTGTCTTGAGTTGTAACTGAGTCGTCTTTTAATTAAACATTAATTAAACATCCTCGTTTAATTAAATATCCTCAATAGAAAATTTGTAATTTAATTTTGACTACATGATTCACCAAACTACTACTAAACGTCATTTCAGAAAATAGTACAATAGTAAGACTATAAATGCACACGCAGTCAGCAAGTCACAACAGTGCTGTGCAGGAGAAAGCATAGTTAACCAAGGCATGTGTAGGATTTCTGTCTTCAAAAACAGAAACCATTGAATCTGTGAGCAGACACAAATGAACATTGAATCTCTGCATTCCACCGGAAAAACTAAAGGTTCTCCTCCCCAGCCATCTGCTGTCGTAAAACTACATACAGGGTCAGCTCAGTGTCTCAGCAGTTCCTGTCCCCTCGCCTTATCTTCTCAAGAGACTCAAAGAAAAGCACTAAGACCGCAATAACTGACCTCTGCATCTGAACTCATTTAAGCAACAGAACAGCAGTGGTGTCTCGTGACTGGCTTCAGCATAAATATACTATCTAATAACCAACAGAACAAAGTACCTGGTATCTGGAAATGTTCCAGCGACAGACACTCCTGGACCCCATGACCGTTTAACGCATAAATTGATAGTCCGATAAACAGAAAGCAACAGATTAATAGCTCCATGTCCGAGCGAGAAGAATGGCAGATCTCCACCCGTGACAGTGTCATGACCTCAGGACATCTCCCCTCTTTCTCCCTGCATTCCAAAAGGGGGACGCATCCTTTTCTTACTTTCCAGAAAAAGCGCGCGTTTCTCCTGTCACAGACAAAGAAACAGAACTTACACAGACAATTCATAAGACAATCATTTAAAATCATTTAAAGTATCGGAGCAATATACTCCCAAATAATATGCTTTCTGTTTGATGCGTTATTGAAACCATGATATCTTAATCTTTGCCTTTTAGTAAATAAGATGATTGTGTATGCAAAATACCTGTTATTTGAGCTTGAATGAAAGCTTATTTTATGAGAGAAACTTTGGTATGAATAAGAAGTGGGAAATATGTATGATACTTGCATTAAGAAACTTTATAGAAGTATTAACAAACTCGTCGCAGAGATATTTCCCCACATGATAAATTGAAGCCTCATGTTAATGTATGCATGCTCTGCCTTGCAAGAAGTCGATTGGAAGATCGCGCCGTGGGACGGACTTATGCCGTGGATCAAAAACCCAATGCAAGACTTGTGCGCTTGCTTGCTTCTTCGCCTTTCGCCGTGTTAATAGCACTCCAACCTGTGCTCACACGCTTACCATCAAAGCGATCGGTCATCCAAAACTCAAACACTTCAGTTGAAACTTCGTGATTGCCAGAGATCTTCAAAAGCCTAAAGTCTTGCAAACTTTTCAGAAGGACTGCTTAAGCCTTTGCGTCATCAAGAAACCAACCAATCTCCGAAGAGAATTCCCAGAAACCACATCATCCAGACGCCCGACCAGTAACCAATCAAAAGCCGGGATTCCCTCAAGCAGCCAAACAAGGAAATATCACCCAAACGCAAGTAAACTAACAAAATCTTCTATCTGCTGAACTGGTGCCGAGCTAATTTTAAGCAGTAAACATAGGCCAAGTCTCTGCTTTATGAATTTTCTCAGGTTGCAAGTCAAAGAACTGTAGCGAATGTCTTGCTAAAACTTTGGGCTTTCCTCAGAACTCCGTTAACATAATTTCCCTGAACCTTTGTGTGTATGTGTGTGTGTGTGTGTGTGTTTTAGCTTAGTTTAATGTAATCTAGGATAGCCAATAAATTCTTGTTTCATTTATAAAGAATCATTGTCTTGCGTTGTAATTTTAATATTGAACCTTGCCAAGATCTTGTTACCTAGACTCAGATCAGAATCAGAATCAGAATCAGAATGAGCTTTATTGCCAGGTATGTTTACACATACAAGGAATTTGTTTTCGTGACAGAAGCTTCCACAGTGTAACAGAATGACAGTGACAGAACAAAAAACGCAGATAATAAAAATAAAAATAGAACAAGTAAATAAGGAATAAAAATATATAAATTGACAATTGTGTGTGCAGGTATATTACAATAGACAGTTTTTTTTGTATGTACAGGTACTGTATATTATGTGCAAATTTGAGGTGTAGGCTGAGTATGAGTGTTAGATAAATAAGTGTATGAGTGAATAAGGTTCGCCAGATGGATGCTCGGCAACGGCGTCCTGAATCCGCGCTGTCTGAGCTTGACAAGCGCGCCAGCTCGCTTACCCCGTCTGCGCGTCCTGAAGCGCTTAATCAGCGCCACAGCTCCCCCGACAACAATGTCCAGCAAAACATCCGAATAGTCGAAAACCGGTGAAATATCGGGTGGTGTGTACTTCCAAATGTCCAGCAATTCGTCTCTGGTGAAACTGATTGCAGGGATATAACTAAAGACAGGACAAACTAACAAAAACATAAAAACAACTGCGGAGCACGCCACGGAGGCAGCCATCAGCGTCGGCACCATCTTAAGCTCGTTGCTTATAACTTATCAAAGAACGTATTACCCATGGCCAGGGAAAATACAAATATTCAAATTGTTAAAATATACTGAGGTTAACGTCTCACTGGATGACCATTGATAAAGTGTAAACTATCAAATTGGAATTCAGTTCTAATCAGGTTGACTTCGAATTTTCAGATTCGATTCCATTCAAAACCTGAGCTAGAATAATAATGATTAATTCCCTAAGAAAAGTAATCAGACATTTACATATGGTGGAGAATATAGCTGGCAAAGATTTGACTTAAAAATTAATGACACCAAGATATTATGGTGAATCTTGTCTATTTTTATCCGTAAGTATAGATGAGACACAGAGAAACAGAATTTTGTGAGTTATTGTACCTGTTATTATAGCATACCAGCATGTTGAATGTTTGAATGTGCAACTCGGGTTGTTTAAAAAATTTAACTGCAGTAAAAACATTTAAGAATTGTCCACCGAGACAAAACTAAGTCGCTCTAAAGCGCATGAATAGAGAAGCGAGCGTGTTCCTTGTGTTTTTGTCTTTTAAAAGGGCCTTCAGAGCTTGATTTTTATAAGTGCGTGTTCCACTTCCAAATTCAACTCTGCTATTCATCTCCCTGGTTTGAGAATATCAGATTAGCTAACTGATAGTTCTCTGCCATTTAATTCACTAAAAATCTAGTGAACTTGAAACGCGGAGCTCCATTTTTTTTATGGGAGAAATGTAAAATCTTGATCAAGTGAAATTGTGGTTAAATCCACGTGCGTTTTTGTCTGTATAAATATGTGCTGATATCCACCGAGATATCAATGACAGTGAATTAATTGCAGTAAATCTGTACATTAATTTACCTCACTCAGACAAGTGGAGTGTTCAGCTATAAAGATAAGAATCTAATGAGTACTTTTTGGTTGTTCGGTGTGGGATGCGCTGACATCTCCGTGATGTACTTAAACTGTGTATAACCATCGACTGTGTGTAGTACACGTTAGTTATTGCAGGGTGCGTTGCCATAGTAACGGCCGTAACCCGGAGGTTCGAAGAAATCCTTTCCGGAGGTAACTTTCAGTCCGTCAGCGCCATTTTTGAGCTATTTGTAAACAAATAGCATGAGCTAAGCTAACTGAAGCTAACGCTTTTGCATTGGAGCATATGCAAAGCTAGTAGCATTGAAGGCTAGCAGTTAGCACGTAGCATTGTGTGGTCTTAAATACAGTGTTTTGAAGTGTTGATGTGACCTAAACGTGTGTATCTGAATCCTCACACTAGTGGGCTCTTTCACCTCATCAATCTATCTTTCATACTGATTTCATCCTATCTCTTGTCTTCCTCTCCTCCCA